AGGACCTTTTTTTTTTTTTTTTTTTTACCATTGTTCGTTGATGTTAATATTTTGTTGTTGTTTTTCTTTTACACTGTTCATTGGTATTGCTTTTTGTTTTGTTTTATCTTCTCACCTTGTTAATTGATATTATTATTTTTTTGTTTTTTGTTTTTTGTTTTGATATGTGTGTTTAGCTTTGCTCGACTTCTGTCGAAAAGGCAGGTTCTCTGATTTTTCTGACTTAACCTAATTGAAAATATGTCCCTGTCAGTTGACAGAGAAGTACATTCGAATCTCTGATGGTTTTGAGAAGCTGGCAGCTGTGAAAGAGTTCCAATGATTGGATTCCTGAGCTCAAAATGTCGGCAGAATTTGAAGTTTTGCTTCATGTTGTTAAGTCCAAACTTCCTGGTTGTTCTGTATCGGTCTGTTTGTGTGTGTTGATAGTGTGTGTGTGTGTGTGTGTGTGTGTGTGTGTGTGTGTGTTGATGGTGTATGTATGTGTGTGTTGATAGTGTATGTGTGTGTGTGTGTATGTTGATGGTGTATGTATGTGTGTGTATTTGTGTGTTGATAGTGTATGTGTGTGTCTGTGTGTGTTGATGGTGTATGTATGTGTGTGTGTGTTAATAGTGTATGTATGTGTGTGTGTGTTAATAGTGTATGTGTGTGTGTGTGTGTATGTTGATGGTGTATGTATGTGTGTGTGTGTTAATAGTGTATGTATGTGTGTGTGTGTTAATAGTGTATGTGTGTGTGTGTGTGTATGTTGATGGTGTATGTATGTGTGTGTGTGTTAATAGTGTATGTATGTGTGTGTGTTGATAGTGTATGTGTGTGTGTATGTTGATAGTTTATGTATGTGTGTGTGTATGTTGATTGTGTATGTGTGTGTGTTGATAGTGTATGTGTGTGTGTATGTTGATAGTGTATGTGTGTGTGTGTGTGTATATGTTGATACTGTATGTGTGTGTGTGTATGTTGATAGTGTATGTATGTGTGTATGTTGATAGTGTATGTATGTGTGTGTGTTGACAGTGTATGTGTGTGTGTGTGTATGTTGACAGTGTATGCCTATGTATGTGTTTATAGTTATGTGTATGTTGATCGTGTATGTATGTATGTGTGTGTGTGTGTGTGTGTGTGTGTGTGTGTGTGTGTGTGTGTGTGTGTGTGTATGTTGATAGTGTATGTATGTGTGTATGTTGATAGTGTATGTATGTGTGTATGTTGACAGTGTATGTGTGTGTGTGTGTGTATGTTGACAGTGTATGCCTATGTATGTGTTTATAGTTATGTGTATGTTGATCGTGTATGTATGTGTGTGTGTGTGTATATGTGTGTGTATGTTGATAGTATGTGTGTATGTGTTGCCAGGTCCTGAACAAGCTGCTGTCCCTGGCCTACAACGCCAGCCAACAGAACTTCTCTCTCTCCAGCTGGATCAACATGCTGCTGTCTACCTCCTCTGTGAGTACTGCCACCGGGAGGGGGGGGGGGTGATGCTCGCACAGTCCTGTGGGTGGTTGGCGGGTGCTCTGGTGTGGTCTGCTCCTTCTTTCCTATCAAAAATGTCTTTTATTTAGTCGATGTTCTCGCAGGCGGTTGGAGGGCGCCACTGGTAGTGGTAGATCCTACCTACTTCCTTACTTTCTCTCTGTTATGTCTGTCTGTATGTCTGTCTTACCTTTTACCTGCACTGAATGACCTTTATTGTGTCGATATGCCTCTCTTTACACATACTCAAAAAAAAGACAAACATACATGGGTGGTTGGCGGGTGCTCTGGTGTGGTTTGCTTCTTCTTTCCTATCAAACATCTACCGTCCTTATCTCCCTTTCTTCTTTTTTATGTCTGTTACTCTCTTGTAACACCTCTAATCTTCTGGCGCTTATATGACCTTATGCAGTTGTGAGCGCCGTAAAATCTCTACTAAAAACTAAAAAAACACATTCACATTTTTGTGTCTTCAGGGTTCCCTATCAATCAGGAAAATGGTGAAAAATGCTAGGAATTTTCATTTTCAGAATTCCCGGTCTCGAAACACCAGGAAAATGGATGAAAATGTAAATAAAATGGAAAAAAAACAGGAAATCAAAAGCTTGCCCGTCGTAATGAATTTGGCAGAATTGTTACAATTTTAAAATTTTCTTATTTAGGAAAACTTGTTTATAACGTTTCTGATTTAAAAAATTTTCAAATGTATTTTCTGATTGGCTACCCCAACCTGTCCTCATTTTAAAGAGAAATTCTTAAAAACAATACAAATTTTGTGATTATTCTCTGCTTTTTCTTTCTTCTTTCCAGTTTCTGAAAATCATCTACACAGTGACAGGGAAGGACATTGAGCCTTTCATTGACCAGTGGGTGTATCCTTTGGCATCACATGATGATAATTATGATAATTATTATAATGATAGTAACAAGAATGATGAAAATCAACATGATAAAGATAATAATGTTAGTCCATAAGAATGTGGACTGGCCTAGAGATGAAAGAATGTGTAACGGCAGCTGGCGACCGTGAAGGATGGAGGGTCATTACACGTCAACTTCTGAGTCAGAGATTATACCTCCAGGTATCCAGGTAGTAATGGTAATAATCATAATAATAATAATAACAATCTATACATATTATATTTGTGAAAGTTTGTCACTTTGGTCACCTAAATCTTCTGAACAATCTAACTTTCGAATTTGAAAAAATTAACCGTGGTTCAGAATCACTTAAAAGTGCACAGTTATATTAAGGAGTCTGAAGTCACTTAAATTTGATTTTCGGTTTTTCATTAGTTTCGTTTAGATCTAATCTTGGGGAAGTCCGTCTTCTAAGACACCATTGTAAACAAGTGGGGCTTCCGTTCACAAGCAGTGCGCGCTGTTTCACAATGACTTGACGATCAATTCTTTTGAGTCCGTTCATCGAACGAGTACTCAGCTAGTAATAATAATAATGATAATGGGCATAATCCCTAGAAAGCTCTGAATGCTGTACACAATAAAATCTGGTGAGCATCACCTCAGAGAAAAATGTCTGCTTCTTGTTGCACTGGAGATCTAGATCTGACTGAGACTGCTGACCAAAAAATAGGCAAGAAAAAAAAAATAAACCCACTACTTTGATCTATTTTGTATTGAATTGTGGTTAATAATGAATGAAAAATCTCCTTTCTGCGGTAAAACACTCAGTTGCTTTTCATTCTGGGTGCCCGAGTTGTTTTGTTTTAGTTCTTACCCAGGTTTGAATGTCCTCTGCTTTCACAAAAGGCACACACAGAATAAAGGAAAGCTAGTGGAGTGGGTGGTTGGCTGGTGCTCTTGTGTGGTTTGTTCCTTCTTTCCTATCAAACATCTATCGTCCTGATCTCTCCTCCTTCTTTTTTATGTTTTTTTTACTCTCTTGTAACACCTCTAATCTTCGGCTCTTATATGACATTATTGTGTTGCAAGTGCCGTAAAACACTTACTAAAACTAAAAGCTAGTGGATTGTGAAGAGACGTGAAATTAGTGTGTCCTTGACAGTGAGGTTACCGTGTCCTTGACCTGTGTCCAGTACCCAGGGGGGCGTGGCCCGCTTCAACAGCAGCTTTGTCTTCAACCGCAAACGCAACGTGGTAGAGCTGGACATCAAGCAGGATCTGACGGCCCTTGGGGCGCTCAAGTTTGTGGTCAGTGGCTCTGTCTGTCTGACCATCAGTCGTGTTTTGTCTCTCTGTCTGTCCTGTCTATCCATCCATCAGTGGTTTTTGTCTCTCTGTCTGTTTATCAGTCGTGTTTTGTCTCTCTGTCTGTCCATCAGTGGCTCTGTCTCTCTCTGTCAATCCATCCATCAGTGGTTTTTGTCTCTCTGTCTATCCATCAGTTGTTCCAAAGGGGTAATATTAACATGTTCTTATGCTCAGTAGAATTGTGAATGGGCTGATTTATCAATGTCATGCTCATACTGTGCCGAAACAACTTGGGGGAACTGCTGCCTTTTCTTTCCTCATCTTTACTATCGTCATTTTTCCTCTACTTCTTTTGTATATTTGTCACTCTCTTGTGAACTGCTATTTCCGGGGTGCCTTGGTAGTCGAAGCAGACTTTATGCTGTTGAGGCTAGAGAGGTGAGCAGAGTAAGTCTGATTCCCCGTTTGGACTTCTCTGTTGACATCCACCCCTTGGGGCTCTCATGACCTTATGCAGTTGCAAGCGCCATACAATTTTACAAGTGGGTGGTTGGTGGTGCTCTGGTGTGGTTTGCTTCTTCTTTCCTATCAAACATTTATCGTCCTTGTCTCTCCTCCTTCTTTTTGTGTTTGTTACTCTCTTGTAACATCTCTAATCTTAGGCACATATAGGACTTTATTGTGTTACAAATGCTGTAAAAACACTTTGACTTACTAAAGCTAATAAAAAAAGCCTAACTAAAACTAAACTAAAACTCTTACAACAGACCAAAAAAACGCTACCATACAACACGGTTTTCTCGCTGGGGCAGGTATCTTATCGAGCGTGTCTTCCTCCAGGGGGCGCTGAACGTGACGATACAGGAACTGGACGGTTCTTTCAACCACACGTTCAAGATTGAGGAGAACAAGACGAGGTTTGAGATCACCTGCCACTCCAAAAGTCGAAGGTGAGCTGGGGGGTTGTTAGGGTTTTGTTTTGTGTATTTGTTTGTTTGTGACCCTGTATCTTCATTTTGGTGCCGATATTTGTAGGTTACGTTAAAGTGTGTTGATTTGCTGGGGTTTTTTAATCGGTAAGAAAACATGCACATACAGTTGAACCTGCTCCGACGGCGGTCTTCTGTGTAAGACAATCACCTGTACAAGCGGCCACCTCCCATTCCACGGGTGGTTGGAGGGCGCCACTGGTAGGTGCTACTTCTTTACTTTCCCTCTGTTGTTTCTGTCTGTCTGTCTTACTTTTTCTCAGCACTTAATGACCACTATTGTGTCGATGTGCTTCTACTCACTCAAATAAACTTCCCATCT